ATTGTTTCTAAATTCTTTAAACCAGAAAAAATTAATTCCGGTAAATACGACAACACATTTGATCTTAGGTTTAAATATTTTAATGACGTTAGTTTATCAAATGTTACATCATCCAATTCTTTCAATAAATTTCTTTCAAGATTTAGAATTTCTAAACCCTGTAGATTATCAAATAAATCATTGGCAAGCTCTGTTATTCCATTTCCATTTAAATCAAGTTGCTTAAGATTCAAAGTCTCATTAAAAAAATCTTTTCTTAAAACGAGAGAATTTTCCGATAAATCTAGGAACTCCAAATTAGGTAAATTGCTAAACAAATCAGATGATATATCAGTTAAACCGTTATGGGATAAATCCAATTTGTTCAAAAATCGAAATCCTAGAAAATGATTCTTTTTTAAACTGTTGCTAAGATTTCTATAAGATTGAAAGCCTAGTCCATTTGTTTCTTTAATTCCTAATTTTCTGACAAAATATTGTAATCTAGTTTCTTCTGGTAATGTGCAATTCTTAAACACTATCAAATCGAGAACTCCTTCGTTTTTTATTTGTCTTAAATAAAAAGCATTCCAACTAATATCTCCACACTCGATCTGTTAAATTGAAATTTGATGTATTTAAACAAAATACAAATTTTATTTAATAAATTACGTATAATATATCATGTCTAGAATGAAATTTGTATTTAACTGAATATAAATAAATAGAATAGTTACTAAGTATGTACCTGAATATTTGACCATGATTTCACGTTTATACTAAACGTCACATTTTTGTTGTGTACATTAACAATATTTGATAAACTAGTGTTATATTTCAAGCATTCACAATACGATTTATTCTCGCATTCAGGATTATAAGCAAAAATATTTGCCAAGATAACAAAAAGTACCACAAGAATAATCGTAGCCATTGTTTGTTACTAGTCCACTTCGAAAAAAAGGAAATTAATTAAGATAAGTTTGATAACTCGACTTTTATCTTTGCACATTTTTATGTACTTACCATAGACCAATAG